CACAGCTGGAACCAATGTAGATCATTCATTAATAAAATTGTATTGTAGTAGCCACTTTTTGATGCATTTCAATTGCTGCTGTTGCCAAATCTCTGAATTTCTTTGTTCAATGTTAGCAAGATTATTTTAATGGGAAATATGAGAAGATTTAGGATGGGGGAAAAAAACAACAACAACCTGCTCTCATGCTAAAAATGCAACTAGCTCAAAAAGCTAAATGTCACTTTACCTTGCAATCGACGTACACTATCAGCAGCTTAAAATATGCAGTGCAAACCTGAAAATGGGGAACTCATATGGTACTATGGATAAAAAGTGAGCAGTGCGAGATGCCGCAGAAAACAGGAAATACTTGTGAAAGCATTCTACAGAATGATAATATATAATGTCAGGCAGGGGGAATTAACATATATCAAAAATTGGGGGGGAATCAAAATACTCAATTAACATATACTCTTTCATGCGATACTCTCTACTGAATTTTAACACTGAAGTACATACCATATGCTTAAGGAAAGATCACTCATATTTTTGACCACATCAACTTAGAAATCACTGTCATTATATGTTACTAATATTTGATATCAAACAAGATATTCAAATCACCTACCTAGGAGTTATGGTTAAAATCTGTACTGATATTCAAATGAAATAAAATACTAGTTATAATTATAAGCATGCTATTTAATATAATAAAATAAGATCCTAGTAAAAACAATAAATTTAGTACCTATCCAACTTTGCTGGCATCCCTTAATAAATTTATTTTTCTATGTTTCTACAAACATAATGATTAAGTTACTCTACCATAATTCCTGCAAACTATATAATATCAAACTATAAAGATATAGGAGTTTTAATATGTGTTCTGAATTGAACAAAACTACAGAAAACATTACCTGGAAAAAAATGAAAAATTCAACAGCATTTACCAAAAAATGTGCTCAAACATTATAGCTCTTAAATATATTTCTACTACGCCTCTGTGTATAGTTAGAATAAACAAATAAATAGGACAATTCATGTTGCAATTCCTAAGTCACTGAAAGATATATTCCTACCACAGAAAAGATAAAGGGCTTAATTGCAAAAAAAATTACACCAGTGGAGAAAATGTATTTAAAGTCTATGAAAAGTATTTAATATACAATAAACATTCTTCAACATATGTGAACATACCGAATGAAAGAGCTTTTTGTCTGTATTATCTTTAACCACCAATTCTAATATTATCAGACCTTGGCACAGAGGATTCAAGACAGACATTCATGCACTTAACTGGACCAAGAGAAAAGAAGACAATTTCACTGGCATTCCTTCTCAAAAATGTCATAATTCTCATCTTAAAATGTTGACCTAAAGATTTAATTAATATAACTTAACAGGCCTCCCAACCAGATTCATTGTAGCTGCTCTGCAGAAAAAGCCACTTAAACACAAGTTTAAAAAAAAAAACAGCACTGGGGGAATGAGGAATCATAGCATTTATTACATGTGCATTATACACACAAAGCAATTTGAGTATTTGTTTGTTTTGTTAAAGTAATGAGCCAATATGTTGCTGAACCTGCCTTGAGAAGGAGAGAAAATAGCAGGTGAGTTTATTTAATGCATACTTTTGATATACCTGTTCTACGAATCCTTTTAATGATTTTAAAGCATTTGCTAAATTAAAAATAAATCTGTAAAAAAAAACTGTTAGATTGCACAAGTTTATCTTAATGTATCCATAACACATATATTTTCCAATATATATGGCATATAAAAATGTTTCACATTAATAATTCTGACACGAACCATTGTTTACTTTCTTTTCAGTCACATTTGTTACACTGCTACAAAAATACATCAGTTTTTCCTCCCAAAGTGATTTTCTTATTGCCAAAAATCATTGACAATTTTTAAAATAACAATCAGTCAAAATAATATCAATCTCCTCCTAAGAAAACATATTCTGCTTATTTAACTATTCTTATCTTGATTGAACAACACTAATTTTTAAAATAGATCACTAGAAAGTAAATTATTTGTTTTTGCTTAATACAACAGAAAACACATTTACATTTTGAGGAATATTCTACAAAATTTCATACAATGCTTGCTCATAGTGAAAATCTAGTCTCCTGCTCAAATCATCACTTAAAAACATAATGCTACATTTTCACACCCTTTGTAACAGTAGGTCACCAATAGTAGGTCTCTATAATTTAGAGATAATTGAGAAAGTTAAAAATACTTCTGTGTTTTACCTTGTATTTTAATTTCAAAGGAAAAAATTTTAAATGCACATCCTTATATTTAATGAAAGTTCGCTTGGCTTATCTATCAATACTTATCAGACATTCTAAAAATGAGTATTCAATTTGTAAAAGATATGAACTGACCCTGAGTTTTAGACAAAAATAGAAAACAATGACAGGATTTTTGGTCTCAACAAGAGATATCTTGGCATAAAAATCCATATAATACAAGCAAATATCACTCAAGAGTTTCCATTCAAATAATAAGCTGTGAAGCAAGACAAGATTCCAACCAATCAAAAATACTATGTCAACATGTCCAAAGTTAGCAATATTCAGAAGCGTTTTCTGAAAAGAGTGGCAAAAATGCAACTGTGAAGGAAATCTTTAAGAGAGCAGGAAAAGGCAAATTTAGCACAAGCTTCTATAGAAACAATGCCATTTACTATATGTGGAAATTGTAAGGAGAATGATGTTTCTATTTAAGAAAAAATATTTTTTCATGATGGTGGTCTACATCAAGAAAGAGGAAGACGAGGAAAAGAAATGGTGTAAGGAGGAAAGACTAAGGCTGCTTGCCTTCCTTCGGTGATGCTGGGAGGGTAGACCCTCTGCCTTATGAAAACCACTGCCAGAACCAAGCTACACAAAACATTTTGGCTGCCAGCCTAGAACAGTGCCAGGCGGTTTTTTATTTTTGTGCTAGACTCCCTCAATTGAGACAGTGTGGGATTGTCACTTTGATGCACACAGAGAACAAAGAATAACGTAGTACTGAGGAGGGGAGTTTTTTGTCCCTTTAAAGTTAGGTTAGCACTTTGTTTGCTTTGACAGGTCTTGAAAAGACCCAAGAAATAAAAGTTATGCTGAAGAATGGATCAATTGCCTAAAGAAATTAGTGTAAGTACACTGTTGTCGACAGTTTAAACACCATGTGAGAGATTAACATTTTAAAAAATCAGACTTCAAAGGGATCCAAGTCATATACTTACCTGTTTAAGAGGCCAGAGACCAAGAAGTACATGACTCACGATCACATAATCTTATTTAAAATCTGATGGTATGACGGAAGGTCATAAAGTCTGGCTAAAAAGAACTAATATAACTGTTATAATTTTTAGGTCACTATTTAGAGGCAACTGTGTCAGCTACTATTCTGACCTTGATTTCTCCAAAATTAATCTTATTACAAGACTATAACATTAGAATATGAATATTTTATGCCTTTACAGAGAAAAAGGTCATAAACGATCAAAAATGTTTAAAGGATTAAACCACAAATCATCTAGAAAGTTGCCACAGACACAAACAGGAAAACCGTCTCCTCTATCCTATTCAATTCTGTACTAGAAGCAAAGCTAACACAAACGAGAAAGTCAAGTGTGTGCTGCTGTAAGCTTCAACTAAATATTCTACCTGAATCTGGTGACTAAAAACACCAATAAGCCATTAGCTCCTAGAGGTATGACCTTTTCTCTCTAATGCACAAGATAAGTAAAGGTAGCGGTCCATTTTCTACAAACCAAATGAAAAGAAAGAATGAACTGTGACAAGCCCAGATCTCATGCTGGCACATTTTACACCAAGCTCAGCATCATCTAGAAGCAGTATGCTTCTCCCTGCCAATCGGGGGGAAAAACGTTGTGAAACTAATACAGCGTTGATGAATAGCACTAAAGGTCTAGTAGTCCCTTCCTCCTGCACATCTCTCCTGAATCAGCTGTTAAAAGAAGACCAACGGCTGTTACAGAAATAGCAAGAACTAAAGCACTTGCCTCAGATGTTACACATGGAGGCATGGAGCATTTACCACCTGAGCCTATCTAATTTCCCACAAAACGATCCCCTGCCCAGTTTTGTTCATGACCACAGATTCTGATAGCAAGTCACGATCAGTGTTGGGAAAGGCGGTGGGGGAAGCAGAATGTGGGGAACAAACCAAGTGAGAACAGTGGCCAAACTTCAAACAATATACATTTCTCTTATTATTCAAATTAGTGCCCGTGCACAATACTTTGAGACGACAAAACCTGTGGTAAAGGTTTCAGGTACAACGATTTCCTCTGGGTGGCAAGGGTAAGTCTGCCACGTAATCAAAGAAAGCATTATTTTGCTCCTCACTGTTCTCCTTTCACATTTCCTTTCTTTCCTCTAGCATATACTGCTGATGCCATTACCGCGTGGGACACTGATAGTTGTAGGCGAGGCATTCATGTATTGCCAAAGTAGTCCAGAGAATGATGCCTGGCTGGCTTTAGTTCAACAAGGAGTATAAGGCAAAACCAGGAAGCAAAAAGAATGAAAGGTGTGGAAGAAGCTGGGCAATAGCCTGCTTTTTCTATTTATTAATGATGCAGACGAAATGGGGGAAAATCTAGAAAAAGCAGCCAAGCCAACTGAATTACAAAGAAAGATTAAAGGAGTTACATGTGTATAACTTGGCCGACAACCAAGGAGCAATATGAGAGCTGTCCACAACTCTCCAAAGTATATACATAAAATGAAGAGTGGGAAATTTTTATCTACCATAGAAGTGTATATATGAAGTAATAATGAGATAAAATAAAAATAAAGAAATCTGACTTCAAGCAGCAAAAGAAGTAATCTGGTAAAACTTAAGAAAGCCTGCTTCCTTCTCTTTAGAAATATTTATCATCTTACTGACCCACACTGCAGTAAGGAGTAGATGATAAAAAATGACCACATACTGCCAGAGAACTGCATGGAAGGAGAAATAAAAATGAAGTCCCATTTGCTCACCTGATGATCCAGATATACTGATGACCCTCTTCACATATGTCCAATGTGGCTAATGCAGAGGTACCTGTGAGATCATGAAAAACAAAGTTATCTTCAAAATAAACCCAGCCTGAATTCTGAATCCTGACAAGAGTTGACTTGAATGACCCAGTAGTCTGATTCTTGGATATTCCAAGACGGGAAAAGAATCTCCAAGAACAGAAATGTTCTGAGTCTTAACTAATACGAGTTTTTTTCAGTCTTTCCAAGGATTTCCCAAATCAACTATAACTCAAAAAATAGTAACAATAATAATAATGATTCAGATTAGAGGTCCTTAACCTTGGTTCATGGATGGCCTTCAGGAGTCTATACACTCCTGGATGACATATGTAGAATTTGTGGGGCTTTGTAAACGGCTATCTCTCTGGGGAGAAGGTCAATAGTTTGCTAGATTTGCAAAAAGGTCTAAAATCCAAAACACTGTCAAGAACCTCTGAGAAGGTTAGTCTAAAATCTCAGAGGCAGGTTGGAATGTATATGGATAATCAGTCCAGGTTTGGGGTTTTCCCTCCAGGGAAACAATAAAGGTACACAGACACTTGTAGATCTGGGGTAAACATCTTAAGAACACTACTTTCTGAGAGAGCATTACATCAAGTTTAAACTGTTATTTAACGTACAGTCCTATGTTCTCTGCAAGTCATGCGCAGCAAACAGAATAAGATAATACCACATACCCAAGGGTGGATATTGTGACTTTCCTGTTCTGTATTTATTAAAGTCAAAATCCTTAAATATATTGATACTGACAGGGTCAAAACTAACATAGAAACTCATCCAAAAAGGATCCTATAAGACAAGCAACAAAGAGGAGCTACCAAAGGAATAAGAAATGTGGCTCCCAAACAGATTACATAGCACAAAATCAGAAGATTAGCCAAACACATTTCTTAAAAGAATTATTTTAAACAGTAATCACGGAGTGCGAATAACCTATATCAGAAAAAAACCAGGTTGGAGAACCTTCCAGGCACCAACTTTGAACAAGATGGGAAAGCATTCACAGTCACGTTGATGATCCTGATGTCACCAAAAAATAATAAGAATAAAAAATAAGAGAAAGGCTGAAAAGACATAAATCAAGTAGAAGGAGAAAAAAAAAACCTGTTAAGATGGCCCATTTCAAATAATGATCATGTAGTATTCTCTCAAAAATTTATTTATTTAGACATTCACCTCTAAGCACGTACCAGGCACTGCATTCAGTGCTGGGAATTCAGCAATGAACAAGACAAAACTTGCCCTGCTGGAGCTTAACTTGGGGAAGGGGAGGAAGGATGCAAGGAGACAAGCATATCAGCGACATCATTTCAATTTGTGATACACGATATGAAAGAAATAAACAAGAGGATGTGACCGAGGCACTGGAAAGTGGCCTACTTCTAACTAGTACATCACAGAGATGTTCATCCAATTCTCAAAGTTAGCCAGGATCTTAGAGAATTAAGACAGGAAAAGGACTATAGGGACAGCTAGTCAGACCTCTTCATTTCAGAGATGAGGACAGGAGAGCTATTCTGGAAGACAAAGGATCACAACCTCATTATCTCAGAGAATCAAAACACACACGCCTAGACTGAGTTATGATTTTATGATATACACTTTGTCTTAAGAGGAGAAGAAGGCTGAGAACAAGTGACTGAACAGCATTTCTGAATATTTTAAAATACTGGCTGAGGACACTGTGTACTTTGTATCCTTAATATTTAACAAAGAACCACATTCTATACAAATTCTTGGCAAATTTCATTCAATTAAAAGAATTCTGTTTTGTGTTTCTACAGACAAATCTGATCAATTTCTGCTGTTAAAGAAAGGCAGGGTAGGGATGGGGAGGAACATGGTAGCCAGCTTCAACCTTCACCTCGTGGAATTCACACCTTTGTGTAGTCCCCTCTCTCACTGTATCAGGGTTGGTCTGAAAGAAAAACAGAATGCAATGGAAGTGAGGTATCTGACTTCTGAGGCTAGGTCCTAAAAGATACTACAGCTAACTCACTTGCTCTGGGTGAAGCCAGTTGCCATGTCATGAGGACACACAAACAGCCTGACAGAGCAGCCCACCTGGCCTCTTGCCAAATAGCTAGAATCAACTTAGCCTTATATGTCAGCCATCCTTTAAGTGGATGGCCCAGGCAAGTCCAACCTTCAGATGACTGTTGCCCTAGGTGATCCTGACTGCAACTCATGGGAGATCAAGAGCCAGAACCACCCAGCCTGCACTCTAACGCCTTTCTAGCATGCACTATAACTTCCTGCATGATAGGGCCTGGAAACTTAAAAACTAGATTTCCCAGAAGCTCTTGCATCATGCTTCCACAGGGGACCCACGTTCAACTAACTAGACAAATCCATGCAAGACTTAGAAAGCAGAGTGAGCAAATCAAGGTGGTGACCACCTACAATGAGATCAAATCTCATAGCGAAGGCATTTTGTTCTTCTGAGACAATCACAGAAATATTCTACTAAATGATCCATGGTATCATAGGTTCCAAGTAGCAAGCAACAGTGGATATTCTACTAGAACAGTATAACTGAGTGCTTCTCTTGGTTTGTGTTGTTCCTAGCTTATTTAACAGTCAAGTCTGATTTCTTGGCACTTCTGGAAATTAAGTAGTGTGTAACATACCCCTTTTTGCTTAAACTAGCTAGCTGTCTGCATCTAAACTAGCTGTTGCCTGTAAAAGAACCCACTCTATCATACAAAATTCTCATATCTCAACACTCACTCCTTTTTCGTAATTGATCCTCTTCTGTTCCAATACTCATTCCTCTATCTGTGCACTAAATCCTATTCATTCATGCCTTTTCTAAGGCATTCTATCAGTTTTCTCCTTTTTCTCTACCTTCAATCTTTTCCTCTGCACTGATGCCTTCTCCTTCATCAATAACACACTTCCTTCAACCCTACCAAATATCCCTGTCATGCTTTATAAAACAATAAAATAGGCTCATTGTCTTCACTTCAACTTCCACTCAACACTCAAATTACCACAACTTGGCCTCCTTAGCCATCACCCTACTGAAACAGCCACTGTTAAGGTTGGGAATAACCAAACAATTACCTATTTTCCTTCCTCACTCTGCTAGACTGTGGCATTTGGCATTCCCACCCATCCTGCCTCTTTAAAATTCCCTTGCAGGGTTACTCTCCAAAATACATAAAGAACTCAACAACAAGAAAAACAATCTGATCAAAAGATGGGCAGAGGACATGAAGAGACATTTATCCAAAGAAGATATACAGATGGCCAACAAGCACATGAAAAGATATTCAGGGGGCTGGCCTGGTGGTGCAGTGGTTAAGTTCACACGTTCTGCTTCGCCCAGGGTTTGCTGGTTCAGATCCTGGGTGTGGGCCTACAGATCACTTGTCAAACCATGCTGTGGCAGGTGTGCCACATATAAAGTAGAGGAAGATGGGCACAGATGTTAGCTCAGGGCCAGTCTTCCTCAGTAAAAAAAGAGGAGGATTGGCAGCAGATGTTACCTCAGGGCTAATCTTCCTCAAAAAAACAAAAAAAACGAAAAGATATTCAACATCACTATTAGGGAAATGCAAATCAAAACTACAATGAGATATCATCTTATACGTATCAGAATGGCCATAACTAACAAGACAAAAAAATAACAAATGTTTGAGATGATGTGGAGAAAAGGGAACCCTCATACACTGCTGGTGGGAATACAAACTGGTGCAACCACTATGGAAAACAGTATGCAGATTATCTCAAAAAATTAAAAACAGGAATACTATATGACCCAGTTATCCCACTACTGGATATCTATACAAAGAATTTGAAATCAATAATTCAAAGAGATTTATGCACCCCTATGTTCACTGCAGCATTATTCCCAATAGCCAAGACATGAAAGCAACCCAAGTGCCCTTCAACTGATGGATGAATGGATAAAGAAGATGTGGTGTATATATACAATGGAATATTACCTAGCCATAAAAAAGACAAAATCATCCCATTTGCAACAACATGGATAAAACTTGAGGGTATGATATTAAGCAAAATAAGCTTGACAGAGAAAGACAAACACTGCATGATTTCATTCATATGTTGAAGATAAACAAACACATGGATAAAGAGAACAGATTAGCAGTTACCAGAGGGGAAGGGGGTTTGGGAGTGGGCAAAAGGGGTTAAGAGGCACATATGTATGGTGATGGATAAAAATTAGACTATCGGTGGTGAGCAGGATGCAGTATATACAGAAACTGATAAATTATAATGTAACCTGAAATTACACAATGTTATCAACCATTATGACCTCAATAAAATAATTGAAAAATAAAAAAATAAAATTCCCTTGCATTGGTTTTGAAGGCATCTCTAGCCTACGGGTTTTCACTATTTTACCCCTGACTCCATTTCTAGGAATTCCCTAGGGCTTATCTTTAGGAATATTATGGTTTCATTCTGCCCCTGACTTCAAGACTTCAACTACCATCTATATATTTACTGATCACTCCCAAATCCAAATTTCTCCCCTACCTCTCTTTTCACACTACAAACTTAACATTTCTATCTGCCTATTAGATGCAGCTAGCTTTATCAATTGTTGCAAAATATCATAAAACCCTCCCTAACTCAAAAGGACAAATTTAAAAGTAGTTTGTACCCTATAACTGTGCAGTCCAATACTGTAAACACTAGCCACATGTGCTTACTGAGCACTTGAAATGTGCCTAGTCCAAATTGAGATGTGCTGTAAGTATACTCTGCACAATGGATTTCAAAGTCCTCATACAAAAATAGGAATGTAAAGTATCTCAATAATTTTATATTGATTATATGCTGAAATAATAATTTAGATAGACTGGGTTAAATAAAATATATTAGCAAAATTAATTAAACTTATTTCTTTTCACTTCTTTAATGTGGCCACTAGAAAATTTAAAATTATTGCATCATAATTCTATTGAACAGTGCTGCTCTACACACACAAAAAGAACACCATAAAAAAAATGCATGTACTATTCTCAATCAACAAAGGAAGGAAAAAGAATTGATTTTGTTCTCTTATACTCAAGTCATCCTCACGTTCACAACTTATTATTTTATCTTGATCGCTTATAGACTCATTGTTTAAAAAGAAAAGGCTATGTCCTGTAATCAAGATTGATAGACATTCCCTAAAATACATACAAATATACTCAAAATTATAATGTCAAAAATACTAAATTATATCCCATAAAAGTCAAATATAATCATAACTATATCATAAAAATACAAATAGCTAACATTTGATATGTGCTATGCAACTATTTTATATAATTTAATCATCACATCTCTAAAGTAGGTAATATTGTTACGCTCCATTTAACAAAGTAAGAAACCTAAGGCAGAAAGAATTTAGGTAACTTGCCCAAGGTCATGTTCTTGGGCCTCAAACCCAGGTAATCTGGCTCCAGATACCGTACTACCTTTTGCTGACTCATAGAAGTAAAATTTAAAAGAACAAAACAGCCTCAGTTTTGGATGGTTCCCAGTATCCTTAAACTTATACACTCAAGAAACATCAGAAAAAGTCAAATCAAATAAACCCAAGTGTGAACATATAAACATAAAAGCTCACAGAAAATGAAAATTTAGAAGCAAAACTAGGTGAGTGGAGGTGAGTACAAAGATGAAATAAAGAAAGAAGAGACAAAGGAGTCTGCTCTGAGCCCAATATCTCCAAATGAGAATTCCTCAGGAAGAAGAAAACATTACTAAGTGGACATGAAGATGGTATGGGCCTCAGAAACACGGTATGCCCACTGAGGCAGCAGAGCAAAGTCAGGCCTTGACTGATAACCATGGAACCTTCCAAAGACTTGCGTGTAACTCTGCTTCACACAGTTGTGTGTGTGGGGGGTGGGGGATGAGGAGGAGTAGGGAATTAGTTATTGAACTAATTTCAATGGTTCAAAAAAACTTATAGAAAGAATTTATATCTGAATAAGGCCATACAGCCTAAATTTTTAAATGCAGTTTAGCATTTTTTAAAAAAATCTTCCAAAATACAAAGCTTACAATGTAAATATATAAATACATACATGGGCAAAAATAAATATGCTGATTAGATATGTATACATATCCCTAGAAGGATACATAAAAAGATGCTAACACTGGTTACATGTGTGCAAAGAAAGTGTTAGGGGACTAGGGCACAGGATGAAGAGATTTCACAGCCCTTGGTACTTTTTAAATTTGAACCAAGTGAACACAGTAACTATTGAAAAATTTATTTAAAATCCTGAAGTCCAAAAATAAAAATAAATAAAATGATGTTGAATAGGAAAAGGTATGGAAACATACTTATTCACACACATAAACCTGCACAGAGGAGTGCTTGATGGTGAAAGGGTTAGGGACTTCTGGCCTCAATGAAAGACTAGTATCCCACCTTCACACAACATCATCACGTGACCCTGCCACCTGTACCTCACTTTCCACCACCAGAGATACACAACAAACACGCATACACAGAGGTCATTTGAATTGCTAGACAATGCTACTCGAACATTCTCAGAGCCTACGTGCTTAAAAACATCTAAAAAAACAGAAAGAAGCTCTTGAAAAAGAAAAAAGGATTTTGGAAGCTAACAATATAGAAATATATTTCATATACTTTTTTAAAAAGTTGTTTAGGGGCCGGCCACATGGCCAAGTGGTTACGTTTGTGCGCTCCGCTGTGGCGGCCCAGGGTTTCGCCGGTTCGGATCCTGGGCGGAGACATGGTACCACTCATCAGGCCATGTTGAGGCAGCGTCCCATGTGCCACAACTAGCAGGACCTGAAGCTAGGATATACAACTATGTACCGGGGGGATTTGGGGAGATAAAGCAGGGGGAAAAAAAAAAGAACCTACACAACAGAAAAATATTTAAAAAAAAAAAAAAGTTGTTTAAGGAGAAAAAAAGTCTGTTTGGAAGTCAGAGATTCCAAAAGACCAGTGATGCAAAACTCCCCCAAAGCTAGAAGTCTATTAACATTATTTGCTTAACACCTGCAAACCAGAATACCTATAGTCTGCAACCCAAGATAGAAACCCTGAGTCCTCTTCTTTTGAAGGTGAGGGTGTTCTATGACTTGACTTGACTGGACAGCAAAGTGACCTAATCCTTCCCCCTTGGCCAAGAGAAAGTCTTCCCTCCCAAAGCTGGAAAGCTCTGAAGAGACTTGCCTTCCAGAATGATGAACCAAGCTTTTTCGGTCAGGGATATAGTAAGCCCTTTCCTTTAAACTTCTCACAAATCAGAACTTTTCACAAAATCTACTCCCAAAAAAGCTTATTTGCATTAATTTGCTTTGTGTTGCCATCATTCACTGTCTTCATTTTTAATTTAGTGGTATTTTTAGCCAAAGGAAATGAAATATAGTCAGTTTTTCTCAATCTGTCTCAGTTCTACTCTTCATCTTCTGGGACCAAATTCATGTGATCCTTTAACAACTATTTATTTCACACCAAACCAGATATCTCCCTAAAGCTTACCAATCTAGCCTCCAGGCATATTTCTTAAATAAAAGCAGTAGATCTTTGTAAACCTAAAATTTGCATACTAAAGGAACAAATCAACTATCAAAAGACCTAGTAGGATATAGCAGTTGCTCACCTCTGAGCAGAGTTTAAAATTCATTTCAATTTATTATTTTTTTAAAGAAACAGCTATCGACTTTTTCCCTTTGCAAAATACCATGTTTAATGGCCTAGTCAAATTAGAGGTGATAGTGTGAAGCAAGTGTTTTAAATTGCTAAATTCTAAACCTTTTAATAAAAGTACATCAGTCAGAAGTTTTAATAAGACTCAGCAGGACAGAGAAGAATTAACAGTCTGTAGGTATCAAAACGGGGTGATAGGCAATGATAACCTTAATCATTTGCATAGGGATTTATAATTTCATTGCTTAAAGGTTAATGAAATTATGTGGTATTTTGCCCACACTTATCCAGTAAATGATTTCATGCCTTGGTTTGTATATATTTACTGACTGAATCACATAACAGAAGAAATGACTGCTTTTACCAATTAACCTACCACATTTTTACTTATGTGCTCCTGGGTCCATAACTATCATTATCTGTTCTAACCAGCAACTGAGTTGCCCAAAACAAAAACAAAAGGTTTCCAACAGTATCTCTGAAAAAAGGACAAACTCACAATCAGAACTCTAAATGGCCTACTCTGACTGCATGTTAGAATCACC